TTCTATCCAAAAATGTGGCGGTAGCCATATTATATCAATTTTAAACAATATATGTACAGTTCAAAAGCAAACACAAAAACTTCAATATAAGTACAAAATATAGAAAGAATGACAACATACAATGGTAAAAATCTCAAATTGGAATCAAATAAAATACCAAAAATGTCAAGAGAAAAGTCCACCAGAGTTCATAGCAAAAATATGTAAACATGGAGGGATTTTTCCAAAACACAAAACATTCAAAAAGAATTCTACAATCCTTCTTTCCAGTGTGTTGATACTTGTTCTACATCCCAAATCATTTGAAGAGAGTGTTGAATATTTATGCAGTTACTTCCACGTCTGATTTCATTGCCTCCATTGGAATGTTGTCTGGTCTTGCAACTTCACTGCTCTCAATTTGGCTGACGGTCATACTAACCTCTTCAACTGTTGGTGGGCCAACATCGATTGGGAGGTCCGTACATACTGCATCGATGTTGGGTGGGTTCAGTGGAGTTGATCGATTCAAGAATTCCTTAAAGTGCTCTACCCACCTATTTCGCTGTTCTTCAGTGTTGCTGGTTACTTTGCCTTCTTTGCTTTACGCTGGTCGTTCTGGTTTACGACAGCTTCCAACTAGCTACTTTGTTGCATTGTACAATTGTCTCTTGTAGCCTTTTACGCCGTCATTGCTAGATCTTCCACATATTTTCGATTGTCAGCTCTGATGCTATTCTTCACTTCCGTGTTTACTTCGGTGTGCTGAGCTTGTGCCCTAACTTTCTCTGCTCTTGTTCGGCTGACAGTACTTGCTGCCCTCTCGTTCCTCCTTTCTTCGATTTTTGCAAGAGTACCAACAGATATCCGATCCTTGTGGTGGTACTTCCTGTGGCTCGTAACCTGGTGACACGTTGAAGTGATTTCTTCCTTCATCTTGTTCCAACTGTTCTCCATGGTAGTTCACTTTCCATTAAGTAGATAGTCAAAAACCTGGAACATATTACTGAGGGCTACCTTGAATTTGTCTAGCTTTCCAGTATCCCGGAGAAAGGCCATATTAAACTTGTGTGATGTTGTCTTCACCGGTGTCCAGTGTTTCCTGAGTTTCAGTTTCATTTTGGTAATCAGCAAGTGGTGAGCTGAGGCTATATCAGCTCCTCTCTTCGTTCTCACATCCTTCATGGTGCTTCTGAATTTTTGATTGATACAGATATGGTTAATCCGGTTCTGAGTAGTGTGGTCCGGTGAAATCCATGTGGCTTTGTGAATGCGTTTGTGCGGGAATATTGTGCCACCGATGACCAGTTTGTTGAAGGCACATAGGTTTGCAAATCTCTCACCGTTTTCGTTCCTTTCTCCCAGTCCATGTCGTCCCATGATGTCTTCATATCCAGTGTTGTCCATTCCAACCTTGGCATTCAGGTCTTCCATAAGAATCGTCAAATCCTTCGGTGAACATTTCTCGACGATTGACTGCAGCCTTTCATAGAATTGATCTTTAACGTCGTAATTGTAGTCATTGGTAGGTGCATAACATTGGATGACGTTCATTGTAATGTTCTGTTTCTTTGTTTTGAAGGATGCTTTAATGATCCTCGGTCCATGAGATTCCCATCCTATCAGTGCCTTTTGTGCATGTTTGGACAGCATCAGTGCAACTCCTTGTGTATGTGAAGCATTTTCCTCTTTATGACCAGAGTATAACAGCAGTTCCCCTGAAGTTAGTCCCAATTTTCCTATCTGTGTCCAATACGTTTCATTTATTCCAAGCACCTTTAGTTGTTTCTTTTCTTGGAATAGTTTTCGAGTGTTCGGACATTCCATGTACCTAAAAAATCTTTGCTATGGTTGCACGAAAGGGCATCGGCTTCGTGACTATAGGCAGAAATCAAATGGTTTGAGTTGAGTTTTCTGGTCTTTTTTAGCGATTTAAATTTTAAGGCATCGCCAAACCCATGCCTAACCCTTCTCCTTTATCCGAGCTTGGGACAGGACAAGAGAGGCTCCAGGCGTAGTTTTTGTCAGACTATTATTGATTTATCTCCATTTTCACCTATTTCCATCGATATCATTTAGTACATATTGTACTCGCATTATAGTCTTAAAATGGTGGATTGTCGTAGAAATTCTGCCAATAAAATAGAGATTTGTGGCACCAGAAACTCAGTTCGAATTCCACCGCATCACGTGCCAGCAGCTAAGATATGCATACACCCTTTATCTCTACCTGGGGATCAAAAAGTCACTGTCTGCGAGGTCGTCCTAATTCCTAACGCTCCTAACGAATATGATCGTCTCAAAGAGTCGATTCTCAGACATTTCTTCAGGTCGAGGGAGTAACGGTTAAAGACCGTGTTAGCACGTCAGCCCCTGAGTGGTGCTCAGCGGAGCCACCACTTCCCGTACTTGCAGTTTTTGGCAGGAACTTCGACAGTTTACTCTGACACCATCAGGTGTTTGTGGCTCGAAGCTTTACAAGCTCAATTACAGCTCTAAATCAGGGCAGTGCTCGAAGACACAGCTTTCCAAGGTCGCCCTCGTATAAGTTAAAACGATTACGACGAATAGCTATGAGGAAAACTGAACAATCGTCTCAATATCATATTTGAACGTGGACCCTGAAGATAATCACACTCTAGCACAAAGGGACCGGAGTTAATGTATTAATAGTTGTATTGAATTTCGAGACCGTTCCTGCACTTTATGTCACTCAGGCGCAATCAAGATCACGAAGGATTGTAGCTCCTTACTCAAAGTGAACACTATCCAAACCACGCCCAAAGGCGGCTGCGGAATTGAAAATTCGTCTTTGTTGGCGTCATCGTGCCTTCAGGCCGGGTGCCCTTCTTTGTCAGGCTCTACGTCCATACAAGGCGGTAGCTCCCACCATGGCGAGTAAATGAGGCCGTAGTCACCGGCGCCTCATACTAGGTCGGTCATTTATTTTATGCGAACGATTATTGTACTAGCACTAGGTACCTAGTAGACAGAGATACCCAGGTTTCTGTCATATCGTCTATTGACAGCAAGCCTCAAGCTAAGACGCTTCGACTACGCGCTGCGAATGGCTCAGTTATTCCTACGTAAGATAAACGACAGCTACCGATCAATCTGAGTAACCGACGACAGTTTCTGTGGATGCTGATCTTCCCTTAACCATATTCGATACCGATTCCATGCAGCACTGCGAATTATTATACGGTTAAAGTAGCCAGAAATCAATCGACAATTAGAAGAATAATAAATTCAAAGGTCTTAACGCTCAAAAATATTTGCACCGACTCGATGGCGTATTTATCGCTTGATTATTTGTTTCATGTTATGTTTGATGAATTCCCCCCAGTTAACTTACACACTAATGTAGACGTTCTAATTATATCGAATAACCTTAATCAACGGTTACGGCATGTTTATAGAAACATCGTTGCCTCCAGGTTTAGTGATGTATTCATGGTAGTTGTCTATGGGGAGTATACAATGCCGGCTAAATTCAGCAAAATATTTGCAGACAGAATTTCTGAAATAAAATAATTTCAGTTGTACCGTTTCAGGACAGATAGCTATTTAAAAACTGATATCTGTCATCTCTGACGAATTTGCCTCTTCAGATGTCAGATATAGAGTTGTCGTTTCGAGGGCAAAGTGATGTTCCTCAAAGTGAATCTACCGTCGGTGTTTGAGGTATGCTTTTAATTTAGGATATTCATCAAATATCCTAAGAGAATTATTTATGTAAGTCTAATTCTATTGGTCAATTCCTACTGGTCAATATTATGGTCGTCCTAACTGTCAATGTCACAGACATCGATGTTGTTTCCTATTCGACCTAACTGTATAAATACGCATTATCTGTAACGTTTTATGACCCGGACCCGGATCCCTAGTCCAGGATCCTTGCCGTCTACTGGACTCGGACCTCGTCCTTTCTGGATGCTTGTAAAATATAGGTTCTACTTCATATCAAGTCTTCTTATTTTACTCAATGGGGGTTTGAGACGCTTGGATTAGAGTAGCCTGTCGTGTCGCCGAATCCTCGCTCTATTTTTCCGACTAAGATAGACTCGTTAAAGTTCAAGCCTATCAAACTGACGTGTTTACGTGCAATGTGTAAACAGTCTTTTATGTATATCAATCACCTGACAATCCTATCATAATTATGATAAATGTCAATAGAAAATAAGGACATCAATAATTTTATAAATCAAAATTTTCTTTGGAAAAAAATATACATCACACACCAAAATGAAGAATGTCATGAAATTGAGAAAATAATAATAATTATGAAATAAATTTTATGCGTAAAGATATGATAAACAATGTTAAAAAAGAAGAAGGCAAAATAACAACTATAATCGAACTAAGAAAAACAAAAATGAACAAACAATAAGAAAAATTTAATCTTACTAACATAGGTTAAATACACTCTAGAAATTTTTAGGAAATTTTTTGTGGTAAGTGCACGTATATATATGCACTAACTAGACAATTATAGGTTAGATAAAGTGGGTGAAAAAAAAAATAAAAAGAGCAATGCACTCAAATAAATGGTCGTTCGTTAGTCAAGGTCACAAAAATTATACATTTAAACAAAAGTATCAGGCAAACAAATAACATATGAATCCATATATAGACGGCGATATCGATGATACTGAAGAAATAAATAAAAAATCTTGTAAGAAGGATAATAAGAAAAAGTAAAGAAGACAAACTAAAAAGAAAAATAATCGTAAACATTTTTTGTTCAATATTCAATAAACTAATCTTTTTAATTTTTTTTTAAAAACACAGAAATAAACAAGAAAAAAATGACAGTATGCGAATAATACACAAGCAAAAAGAAATTACATATATGTATGTATATATATATATATTTTTCTTCTAAAATTCCCTCTCTCAACAATATTCACCTTTTTTAGCTTTATCCAAATATTCACAAAATATTTTCAATGGAACAAATGAATGATCAGTAGAAATTATTTGATGACCATTAGGATAAGAGAAATTCCATAATGTTCTCAATGGTAATGGTTTACCAAGATAAATTAAACGAAACCATAAATCATCTATATGTTCAAAATGATTACTAGAAATGTTATTTGTATGTAGATCAGCTGATTTTTTGATAATTGATAATTCTGATGATGATGATGTGGTTGTGGCTGTGGTTGTAGCTGTAGCTGTAGCTGATGTAGTATACAATTCAAATATAATATCAGCAGAAAAAGGTGGCCAACAACCATCGAATGCATTTAATCCATATAATAATAACATAATTGATGAATCATGACATGCGTACAGATGAAATTGAGGCAACCTTATGGAATTAATGAAGAAAAAAAATGAAAAAAAAAACTGTAGAATTTTGGAAAGGCTTAAAAATTATGTTTTATAGTGATTGATACATGAAGAAAGAGTATTGGATAACTTGAATATCATTTCAAGTTAGGAACTAAGGCCAGTCAGTCAGTCAGTCAGCAACGATAGAGATCTTCGTCCGTTTCTACACGTCAGTTCAAGTTGCAACACTACATAACACATATAGATGGAATTGTCAATTCAAATCCCATTATAGTATAGATAGTAGAATTATAAGCTGCAATGGAGAAGATTAGGGTTTGAAGTAATTATTCGGGAAGTATAATCCGGTTAAATCAGTCAGTCATTTACAACGCACGTACGTACATCAGTTCAGGTTGCCATACCCCATCAGCGTAAACAAACAACTGTCAGTTCAAATCTAATAGTGGTGAAGATAGTAGAAGTATTAGTTGTAATGGAGAATATTAAGGTTCGAATACATGATTCGAGAAGAATAATTCAGTGAGATAGATTTACAAAGTGAAAGATAAAGGTGATAAGGAATTCTGAAGATTAGAATAACAGAGAACACAAAGAGTGAATGCATTTGCGCTGTGGCAAACGATTGTGTGCCATGTCGTTCAAGGTATCTTCTAACCAACGGTTACTTTCGTCTCAAGGACCCGTCTCACGCCTACATCTACAAACATGACTCAGTCTACTTGTCAGTGACTTCATGCATTTCTGCCATGTTTTGGTTTGGCCGTCCCTAGCTTTCTTCCAACCTAGTCCTTTACTACAAAACATAGCTCTTCGAGGCATTTGGTGGTTGAGCATACGTAACACATGTACCAGCTACCTCGACTGATGGAGTTTCACTACTTCATCAATTGATGTGCCATCCCTACCTGGTACACTATTCCTAACTATAGCACTGCTTAATCGGTTGTCCCAGGATATACGAACAATGCTTCGAAGATATCTATAATCACTAATAACCTTCGATTGTCTTCTACTCTGACTGTTCATGTTTCACATCCGGTTAAATATATTTTAAAAAAGAAAGATAAATGTAATGAGAAATTCAGAAGATTAGAATTTGAGAAAAGACAAAGATCGAATACACCTGTGCCATTGCAAACAATTTTGAGTCAAATCTTTTAAAGTCTCTCTATTAATCGGTTACGATTATCTAGCGGACTCCAACCTGGTAGTCAACACCTACCAACACGACCCAATCCACTTGTCAATGACTTCTAGGATGGAACTAACGTCAATTAGGGATTATTGAAGCACAAAGAGCATTGAACAACAAATCCATCGTACGTACAGAGTAGATAAAGAAGTGTGCAGCCACAAAGTCAACATGGTATTCGTGTTTGACAACGGACATCAGTTTTGGGCAAAAAAAATTGATTTCTAATTAAAATCGTACTTTTTCAGTATTAACTATAATGGGATCACTTGGGGATATTATCATATTTAGAATAGTAGTACAATTAAATTTAAAGATATACCGTATTTCAGTTGATTTAATTATCATGAAGTTAATATACGTGCTTAAAACTCAGGATCTAGATGAGGACAATAGGTAAACGTGTTTTAAAACACTGAAACAAATTTTGACCATGCCATTAAACATATCGAAACCCTGAGTTATAATAATGGCGAGGAACTAATCAAGTAGTCTACATCTATGAATATCACTCAATTTAATAGTACATAACTTCGTGAACTAATGACAAGTTTTAGTCAGCTAGTTCCTTTACAGCAGGTAAACATCATGCATACCGTTAGCAAATGGTTGACTATGCTTAACACATGTCCCAATCATCTTAGTCGATAAAAACTTACTAATTCATCAACCAACTGTCCAGTTTTGTTAAGTATCATGTATTTAACTTAAAATGTGCTCAGTTGATGGTCCTAACAAATGCATCTGTAAACAAATACTCGGTAATTATCGACATACATCCTGGTGCATAAAAGAGTTGAATTGCTTTGTCTTACCATACTAATACAACAAGATGACGTTAAAAAGACAAATTGCAAAGGAGATAGAAATAATAAAGTAACAAAGATAATAGGGATATAGTTTCACAAGATACAATGGAAGCGTATGTATGAAGGAACATTGATATTTGAGACCAAATACTAATAGGCTCTAATTTTCAAAGGGGCTACAATTCACAACGGTAGTCCCGCACAACTAGACCAGACAGATCAAAGTTTTAGTTTATTTCAAGTGGCTTTTGTAAATCGTTGACATCAATTAGTGATAGTAACATTCAAAACCAACAAGAAGGAGAGAGAGAGAAAGAGAGAAATGGATAACTTTTTCAACTTGAAGATATTTCACTAAGGCTAAATGAATTTATATTATTCTGTTAAGGAAGTTATAGTTGTTTTATCAAAATAAACACAAGTATCTGGTTTAAATGAAAAAATAGCCCTATTTTATTGGCGCCATTAATTACTGGAAACAAATGGGTGAGGTTGCGCAAGACTGTCAATCGATCGAAGTTAGAAATTAATACTGGTAAATACAGGCTCAGTGGTCATGAGGTTAGGCGTTCACGCGCAAGACCGAAGGTCCTAGGTTCCAATCATGCGAGATGCAGGAGTCGTGGATGAGCACTGTCACTGATGAGTCCCATATCGGGACGAAACGGCCGTCCAGTGCTTCCAGGTTTCTAATGATGGTCCACCAGTGATCGATCCATGATTTCAAATGTGGGCGCCATTATAGTATAAAGAAGCAGGATGAATGAAGCCGATTTCGATAACAGACCTTCTTTTCGGTTTCCTGATGGAAGTATAGGTTTCGAATAAGTTGAATATAAGAACTTTTAACAGTTGACTTAAATTCGAATCTCATGGAAAGCAGGTTTTTGGATCAAGATTTTTTAACTGAAAAGTTTCAACTAGCTATTCCACTGATGAATCAACGATTCCAATCAATCTTTTCAACTACGGAATATTGAAAATAATTCAATGAACTCATAATATCCGTCATACGACGAAACATTCTGTTGCGGAGGTTAGATCCCCAGAACTCATTTGATAAATGTCCTAATTTAGGATTTTATGTTTCAGCGAATGGGTTGATCACAGTTGACCTTGAGATTACATTACACACCAGCAAAATCCTTGACTGATATTGTTGGTTGGTATATTATTTTAGTACGCTATTTTTGTGGCTCTCCCAAGAACGTTTTTATCATGTATAAATAAACTCGATTTCTGTGCTTTTGAACCTCATATTTTCTGGGTGCTAGTAGAATACACTTTCTACGTCTTGTCAAGACTACTTGTTCTACTTAGTGAAGCCCTGGGATGCTCGGATTAGAGTAACCTATCATGTCACTGGATCATTTGTCTTCGCTCTCGTTTACCGACTAAGATGAACTCGTAATAGAAATCAAGCATATCAATTTGACGAGCACATAATACCATTCAAAATCATTAATGTTGAAAATCACATGAAAGTATCTGATACGATATTCATCAAATATCCTAAGAGAATTATTGGTCAAATCCTATTAGTCGATTTCTATTGGTCAAAATGATGGTCGTTTTAACTATCAAAGTCAAATATTTCAATGTTGTCTCTTATTGGTCATCCGGACTGTCAATGTCATTTTAAATGTTCTTTCTTATTGGTTGTCCTGACTATCAATGTCACAGAATTCGATGCTGTTTCCTATTCGACCAAAATGTATAAATACGCATTATTTGTAACATTTTATGACCACGATCAGGACCAAGGCTCGGTCCCGGATCCCTAGTCCGGGATCCTGATTCTCTTCTGGATTCGGACCTCGTACTTTCTGGATGCTTGTAGAATACAGGTTCTACTTCATATCAAGTCTTCTTATTTTTACTAAATATGGGGGTTGGGATAATCGGATTTGAGTAGTATGTCGTGTCACCGGATCCTCGATCCTCGCTCTCGTTTTCCGACTACGTAAACTCGTAATAGTTCAAGTATATCAAGTTGATGCAGGCGTAACAGTATCACGATAATATATATGCATGTTATATTGTACAAATAATTATGATAAGAAAAAAAATAATGAACATTACTCTTTATTTTTCTTTTTGTAAGGAAACAATTCAATGCATAACTACTTACTTTTGATAATTGATCATATTGTTTAAAATCAGTTCAAATAAGTCATTTAAAACAATATGAACATTTTTCTTCCAATCACTGTGAAAGCCGCCAAATAAAAAATGTAAAAAATAATAGAATAAAATAACAATGATTGAATCGGCTTTAAAAAAGAAACATACAGACAATAACTGGAAAAAAATTCAATTTTTAGTCATGAAAAAACATACATTTAGAGAAAAAAAGAAAGATCATTTTTGAATAGAGATCAAACACAGTAATCAATAAATGTTGAAAACTGAGTGTCAGTCTATCAGTCAGTCAGTGAGAACTTTGTGTGTATGTACATCAATTCAAATTGACATACCACGTATTAGCAGTACAGAGGGACGCAATCATTAATGCAAATCCCAGTAAACTTGTTGTGAACGAGAACACAGGTGGGGCAACCGGATTGTATTTAACGAAAATTACAGAGTTACTCAGTAAAATCGGAAAACCATATCGTAAATTGTTCATTTGCAAAATATCAGTTCATCATATCGAACTGGACTGTTCCTGTTGCGAACAACATCAATCCATTGTCACTATTCATGTGTTTCATACAAATTCCATTGTATTCTAACTCTTCCTTTCTTGATCTTCCCTCATCTTCTGCTCCCAGACATTACGTTGACACTCACGTCATTTACTACTTATAAGTAGCTCACACCACAAAATTAGAATGACTAGAGAAAGATGAAGGTTATCAAGTGGAATTCAGATTATAAGTTGAAGAGAACACAAAGATTGGATGTACCTGCACCGTCGCAAACGATTTTCGGCTGGGTAATTCAAGACTCTAACCATTGGTTACGATTGTTTCGCGGATCTCAACCTATTTGTTTACATTTATTAACATGGCTCAGTACGAGTGTACAAATTTCAACTGGGAAACTAATTGTACACCTAATGCCTACGGAATTATATTTACTTTCATCAAAAAAAATTTTGAAAATCAATAAGACGTAAAATTATAATGGACGATATCGGAGTACCACCATATAGAACTGTCAACTAATTCGGACAAAGACATAATCTACTATAAGCAGAAAGAGTACACTTTAACATAAAAACATTTACTTGTGAAACAAGCATATTTTTGTCTGGTTTCTACTCCTTAAAACATTCAGATCGTATCATAAATTCATATAAGATACTTTTCACTTCAAGGCGACCCACTGTATACTACTTATCAAGTCCACTGTAAGCAGTACACACAACAATATTACCAAGTTTATTCAATATCTCATATGTTCGATTGCAGGAAATAGTCAGTCAGTCAGTCAGATGCAACGCAGAACTTCGTACGTAAGTACATCAGTTCATGTTGCCATACCACATCAGCACACAGATATAATTGTCAATTCAAATCCAATAGTAGTAGAGGTAGTAAGGGAATTAGAAGTAATCGGAGAGGTTAGGATTAGAAGATATTATTCAAGAAGTATGATTCAATGAGAAAAGTATGGAAAGTCAAAACTAGAAGGGTTGAAGAATCCAGAAGGTTAGGATTTGAGAGAACACAAAGAATGAATGTACCTGCGCCATTGCAAACGGTTTTGAGCCATGTCATTCAGGATCTCTAACCATCGATTATTATCATCTTGCGGACCCCAACCAGGTAGTCGACAACTACCGACATGACTCGGTTCACTTGTCAGTGACTTCATGGATTTCTGCGATGTTTTGGTTTGACCGCCCCTAGCTTTCTTCAAACCTATTCCTACACTACAAAACAAAGCTCGATGAGGCAGTCGGTGGTTAGGCATACGCAGCACATGTCCCAACCACCTCAACTGATGGCAGGAAATAAAATCAGCACGAAATATATGTAAAATTAAAATAGAATCCTTCTTTCAAACTACCAAGTTCATTTGACATTCATAATTCAATATACATATTTAAAAACATTTTTAAAAGAAAATAGTTAACCATAGAGCTTAACCGCAAGTTTCACTGATGCGATGTTTTACCGTAGATAAATGTTACACGATGCTAGTACCTCTTTCAATAATCAACATTAGATTACATAATGGACACTCGCACACACACACAAAACCAAAGCATTACATTATCGAGATGGTGGAGAAGATTTCTAGCTCAGGTTGATGATTGTGGTGGTGGTGTTTGGTTCTCTGAGCTGGATGTTTTAGTTGAAGAGCTTCTATCTGAAGTTTGTGCTGATGATGTTGTTCAGAAGAACAATGAGAGCTCCGCAACAAAAACATCCAGCTCAGAGAACCAAACACCACCACCAGAGCGTTACATAATCATCCAGCACATGGTAAAAGGTAAAACTCATTCTGTTGACTTGATGAATTCAAGTGACTATGGGATCCAGTAAACCAAAGCAAAAAAAACCAATGTACTCGAGAATTTCATCAATGGAAATTTTCGGCGTCGATAAAAGCTAACAATTTACTGTAACTGATGAAATTGAAGTTATTAATATACAAGAGACGATACAAAAACTTCAATTTACAACATGTTCAAAGTTCAATAGTTTGTTAAACTAAAAAAAAATTTGAAAACACTGTTAATTACATCATAAAATAAATATAATTAGTTTTTTTTTTGTTCAAAGCGTAAACTATAAACACTGAAATTTTGAAAATTCAAGTGCACAAAAAAAAAAAATTAAAAACACAACTCACTTAGATTTAATTTAATTCTGTTCTTATTTTTTTTTTAAAAAAAGTCCCTACTTTTTTAAAATTTTAGCTATACTAGAAAAAAATGCATTATTATGTAACAAATATCAACGTTATATATCCGTCTATTTATCTTTATCGATAACTGTTACGTTGTGGTGAGCGCTACTTATAAGTAGTATATGACGTGAGTGTAAACGTAATGTCTGGCAGCAGAAGATGGGAGAAGATCAAGAAAGGAAGAGTGGGAACACAATGGAATTTGTATGAAACGCATGAACAGTGAAATGTCAGACAATGGATTGATGATTGATTGAAGATTTGCAAATTAACCGTTTACGATATGGTTTTCGTATTTTACTGAGTAACTCTGTAATTTTCGTTAAATACAATTCGGTTGCCCTCACCTGTGTTCTCCTCCACTAAAACGTAAGTATTTCATTGATTAGAAATCTGATTTCGTTCATAACATATCCTCGACTCCCCCCACCCGCCACACTAAGGCGTCTTACTGATACGTTGAGTCAGCTGATATGCTAAAAGATTTCATTTTCTCAGAAAGGATACACTGTTTGTTCAAAATGAAGATATATATATATAATTCCTAAGAGGAAAAACATTTCCATCCATGAATAAGTATACATACTACCACAAGTCCATTTGATTCAAACAAGCATCTTTCCGACTCTCTTAGTGTTCTTATTCAAGCAACTGGTTAGTATGTTATGCACAAGAAGTTCTTACTTCCGTATTACTCTTAGACACTACATAAAACAATACTTATTCTATCGGTAGATTCAATCAACACTTTACAGAAACGAAACAATTGAAGGCAGACTGAACCTATGATAGAACTTGTTATAATTCTCTCTTATTATTACAACCCAGCTATTCCATAATGCTTAGTATTCTCAGAACACAATTCACTCCTGACGTTCTCCCCAAATTAGAACACGGTTGGACAGGAAATAGAGATTATATTCCAATAACAAAGGTTAGATGGAAGACAGAAGGTTCAAAAGAAAACAGACGCTAGTATATTTTTATAGTTTTCTTACATGAGAAGATTCTAGAATGTTCCCTCAATATCGGCTAGCGCTGATTGGATACGCAAGAGCCAATCAGCGTGCAGCAACGCAATCATGCTTTAATCCAATCTATGTTGTCCCACTATCAAAACTATGCAAACATGATATATATATATTATAAATAAGTAATCGTTTTCGTAATATGCTTTGCATTTTTCAAGATGCAACAAAAAATAGAACTACCCTTAAAAAATATAAAAATGGTGTTATCACATGAAATTGTATAAAATATTTCTTATTTACACATTTTAGAAATGATTTAAAAAAGTCATCTTTTCTCAACAACAAAAAAAAACTATCATATTTCAGTTTAAACCAAAGTATGTATGTAGTTGTGTGTCAGGTGCGCAGGAATTATATATTTATCTGTATATCTGTACTTTGAATTTTTGCCAAAAAATATATATATGTATAGGTCATCAGATATAGGATAGATAAGCAGCATGCGCTTTAAAAGGTATGTAACGCAGTAGTGCATCAACGCAATAGCACATGGACACACAATAAAGCCAATACATTTAAACAATCGTTAAAAAATATAAGAAACACTGACTAAATTTTGTATTTTTTGTAATTTATCGCAAGCTATTTACTACTTTTTAGTTTGATTATTAATAAATGTGTGAAGGAAAAAAAATCGAGGAAGAATATATTATTTCATATGATGGCATGCATATGTTCTGCTTAATTATAGATATGATTACCTATAGTGTAAATTGCTTCGAATTACATTACATCCATCATGTATAAATATAGACTGTTTGGAAGCATGGAGTAGTATATATATATATATATATATATATATATATATATATATATATATATATATATATATATAACTTTTTGAGTTAATCATTGATCGACTAATCTTAATAGTTCATTCGCAACTATTAGATACGGTTGTAGTGAATGAGAACATAGGTGGGGCAACCGGATTGTACTTAGCGAAAATTACAGAGTTACTCAGTAAAATCGGAAAACCATATCGTAAATTGTTAATTTGCAAAATATCAGTTCATCATATCGAACTGGACTGTTCCTGTTGCAAACAACATCAATCCATTGTCACTCAGTATTCATGCATTTCATACAAATTCCATTGTGTTCTAACTCTTCCTTTCTTGATGTTCCCCCATATTATTCTGCCAGACATTACGTTGACACTCACGTCATATACTACTTAAAAGTAGCTCACACCACACGGTAAGATTCATTTGTTGAAGGGTTTTGTTTGTAAAAAATCCCTCCATGTTGTATACATTTGTAATTTGTCTATATTGATCATTCCTTTAGTTAATTTGTTCGATTCCATTTTGTG